CTTTATCTTGAGTTTTAGTTTTGATTTGCCAGTTGTGTTTTTTATTATTATTATTTCTGCTTAATTCTACTAGCATGTAAAATTCTACTCATACATAAATGCATTCTTAAAATCAAAAAGGTTAAGAGCTGATAATATAAACGAGATCGCTTAAAAATAGCAAACACTGTAACCTACTAAGAAAACATAAGAAAACATAAGTAATAAAAAATTTTTTAACTGCTGTTTCCTTGGTGTTTTTTTTATTTTAAAGTCTTTTTATCTCAAAACTTAAAAAGGTTTGAATAAAACAAGATCATTTTAACCTCAAAATAAAGGGTCATGATTTCAAAACTCAAAGGAACTCTTTTATTGATGATCTAACATTCAAATCAGATTTTCATCAATCAATAAATATCAAGAATATCAAGTTGGTAACTGACTTTTTTTAAAATTTTATTAGCAATCAAAAGAGGTGGCATGTCATGTGGTTTAAAATGTTTTTGTAATTAGGATAACAAAAAATCCATTTTGTTTTATTAATATTCAGAGACTGTTTATTTTTCTAAACCAATCAGAAACTCTCACTTCTTTATTCATAATATGAAATAGTGTAATGCTATTGTAAAATAAAATAAGTTCGTGTCGTCTGCTAGTGTTAATACTATATTAACGTATACAATTTGCTTTCGTTTACTTAAATAGTTTTTAAACCAATTTAAAACACTACCGCCTATTCTGTAAATCTTTTGTGATCTATTGTATCAAAAGCTTTAGCTAAATCAATCGGTAATTTTCAAAAGAGAACGCGTAATTCTCCAGTTTACTAGAGATAACTAATTATCTCTAGTAAACTGAAGAATTACGTGTTCTGTTGAGTAATTTTTTTTCAATCCATATTGATTTCTATATATTTATTTATTTATAGATAAATGACTATAAACAGTCAAAATTATCTCCAACATTTTTGAAAATACGGATAAAATAGACATAGGGTGATAGTTGCTAACATTAAATCTCCTCCTTTAAATATAGGAATCAACTTCGCTACTTTTAGTTGATTAGGGAAATTTCATTGTCTAATAGAACAAAAAAAATCTTAAATAGTATATCTTATTACTTCAATTGATATTTACATTTACATCATCAGAACCGAGTGATTTGTTTGGTTTTTGCATTTTAAAAGATCATTCAAACTCTTAAAGAGTTAGTTCAAATGAATATAACTGTGACGTGTCACATTACCTAATGAATCTATCGCTCGAGGGATTTCTTTGGATAAATTTGGTCCAACAGAAACCATATCACACACGCACTTGTGTGTGTGTGTGTGTGCATATATATATATATATATATATATATATATATATATATATATATATATATATAATTATTTCTGCTTAATTCTACTAGCATGTAAGATTCTACTTATACATATATGCATTCTTAAAATCAAAAAGGTTAAGAGCTGATAATAAGCAAGACCGCTCAAAAATACCAAATACTGGAACCTACTTAAAAAGAAAACATAAGCAATAAAAAAAATTTTAACTGCTGTTTCCATAGTGTTTTTTTTTAACTCTTTTTATCTCAAAACTTAAAAAGGTTTGAATAAAACAAGATCATTCATCAAAATCCTCAAAATCAAGTGTCATGATTTCAAAACTTAAAGGAACTCCTTTATTGATGACCTAACATTCAAATCAGATTTTCATCAGTATAAATAAATTAAACTTTGCGTAATATCATACAAACTTGCATAATAACAAATACTTGCATAATAACAAACTTTGCATAATATCTTTCAAACATACATATTAAGAAAACTTTGCATAATATCTTACAAAGGTACGCAAGAATTATTACATAAAAAACTAAAAATAATATCTAAGTGCCGTCATGAAAACAAGTTCTTGCTTGACAACCACGAGCCTTAAGATTAAAAAACCAAACCACGCTTAAAAATAGTAACATTTTATAATTGCTTTTAAAAATCACGATGGTATTATATAGTATATTTTTTAACGTAAAAAACAATGTGTTTTTACCTGATGATTGCTAAACGCATGAAATTTTCATGCATTTTATGTCTAAGTTTTGTGCTTATAGTGGAATATTTATTCTAATTTTATCTTTTGAAAAACGCGGACAAAGCTTGTTTAAACAAAAATGATGATTTCTTCCTATGATGGTATACTGACGAGTTATGTGTGTTTGAGTTAAGAAAACCTTTTTTTTTAATATAAAAACAACATATTTATTAGTGAAGTAAATGGGAACTTTTATTTCACTAAAAAATTTTTTTTGTTCAAAAATCACATAAAATGCAATATCTATTATGCGCATGCGCAAAATTCTACACTGCTGCTGTGTAGCACGAAAGGATTACGCGTAATTTCTGACATTTTTGAGGGAAAACTCTGACTTCAAATAAAATCGTCAAGTTACCTTTGATGCTAACCACCCCTATCCTCCCCTATGCTATCATGGAGGCAGTAGTTGCCTATGATGGCATTCTTGTGTTTTTCTTTAAAGGGGCAATAAATGATGTCAGTAATTTTTCTCAATTTTTTGACCCCCTTGCCTTCTTTGTCAAACTCTCTCAGTTCTTGGCCGACCCCCTTTATATATGATGTCAATTTTTGTACCCTCCCTACCCCCCACCCCTAAAGTAACATTAAAAATATGTGTAAACACCATTGATTTTTATCTGGTTAAATTATACATTTATAAAATAGCAGATCTCAGCAAGTTATATTATACAACAGTTGATACCTCATCAAATAATAAACAAACTAATTAAAATTTTATTCTATATCTATATTATAAATTCAATCACTCATTATCTTCCTATGAGTTGTTGAAGTTTAATGATGACAATTGTATTTAAAATGATGACAAATGACTTTATGTTTGCTTTGAAGCACATTTTATAATCTGCTAGGGATCGAATAATGATTGTTAAATTTATACGCAAATTGGTGATATTTGTAAACAGTTAAATTTTTTCTCAAAAGGTAATACAATAATAATATGTTGGTAAACTTTTAATTTGTTTAATGTCTCTGGGAAACTTACATCAAATTTCTCTCAAAGCAAATATGCCATTTCTATACCACATTGTAGATGTAAATACCTTTAAAATCTGCTCGTATATACTTAAATTTTTTTTTTCTTATATTGATATCATTTTGGTCTCAACTACCCTTTCCCTCCCCATTGTCAATTCTTGTCAAACCTTTCAGTACCCCAACCCTCCCCCCCTATATTTACTGACATCATTTATGGATGGCCCCAAAAAATAAAATAACTAATAAAAAAAAAACTGAAGAAAAAGAGTTATTACTTTTCCTGTATGTAACAAGGAATGTATCTATATCATAACTTTTATATTTGGTCTTCGGGAAACGGAATAATGAAGCTTCAAAGTTAAGTATCTTTCCATTCCAAATCTGGCCATTCCACCGATCATGCAATCATTCACCTTGTTCAGGCCCTATTTAAATTGTTTGCTGATGGTAAGTATACCCTAGGCCTTTTTATTGATTTAAGTAAAACTTTCGATACAGTCAATCATCAAATCCTTCTATCGAAACTCAAAAGTTATGGTATAAAAAATACTAACTTTTCCTGGTTTGAGAGTTATTTGATAGTATATGATGAAGGAAAAGCTAATTATAAGACAATTAAATGTGGTGTTCCTCAAGGATCAATATTAGGACCACTTCTATTTCTCGTTTAAATAAACGATTTAAACAAATTTTCTACCATTTTAAATACAACTTTGTTTGCAGATGATACCAAGTTGTTTTATTCCAATAAAGATATCAATGTATTATTTCAAACAGTAAATAAAGAACTAGACAAACTAACCCAATAGTTTAAATCAAGCAAGTTATCTTAAATATTACTAAAAGAAAATACATTTTATTCCATCGTGTACATAAAAAATCAGATGTTCCCTTAGAACTTCCGGACCTTTTTATTGAGTATCGATAAATAAAGAGAGAGCAACCAATAAAGTTTTTAGACGTGTTTTCATGACGAAAATGTAACCTGGAGGGAATATATAGGTGTAGTTGAAGATAAAATATCAAAAAATTTAGGTACAATGTACAAAGCTAAGCAGTTATTAAATCAATCTTGTTTAAAAAACATTTAGTTTTCTTTTATTTATTGCTACTTAAGTTATGCAAACATTGCTTGGTGCAGCACTAACGCGACAAAAATCAAAAAAATCCTTAGCAAACAAAAACAGGTTATAAGGATAGTTTCAAATGTAGATTGTTTCTCAAACACACCAACACTATTTAATAAACTCAATATCCTAAATGTATATAAACTAAACCTCTATCGTGTTCTTATTTTCATGTTCAAACTTGATAAAAATATATTACCAATCTTATTTTATTCAATTTTTGAGAAAATAAATCGGATATACCCTACTAGGTTTTCAAAATACAACTACATTCAATCCAAAACTTATTATTCCACTACTAAATTCTCTTTTGTATACCTAGGACCAAAGTTGTGGAACTTAATATTAAATAATGAACTGGAAACTAATTATTTTCTTAACCAATTTAAAACAAAATTTTAGCAACTACTTTTGTTAACTGAAAATGAGTTAAATATTTTCTAATAAAACTTTTTTAAATTAGAAACCAATAATTAATAGTTAATTAATTAATTACCTTAGATTATTGATACATAATCAACATGCACATACATTTTTATTATTTTGATAATCTTTTTGAGAAATTTATTTTTTATTTTTGCGTTTTTTGTTAATCTTTTACTTTTATTTTTTACTGTTTATTTGCTTTTACTTAATCGGCAATGAAAATTATTAAATATAATTAAATAAGTTAAACTATTAACTGCTCTAACATTAAATTATATTTTTATATAAAATCGTATGTTCTTATTTTTCAAACTAATTCTTAAATGTTATTTTTGTTTTGTTATTTAATATTTTTATTAAATTTTGTTTCTTTTATTTTACATAACAATTCTTAAAT